TAGAACATGGGTGATACCAACGTTAGCTAGCTAGAACATGGGTGAAAACAACGTTAGCTAGCTAGAACATGGGTGATACCAATGTTAGCTAGCTAGAACATGGGTGAAAACAACATTAGCTAGCTAGAACATGGGTGAAATCAACTTTAGCTAGCTAGAACATGGGTGAAACCAACGTCAGCTAGCTAGAACATGGGAAAAAAACAAGTTTAGCTGGATTAGAACATGGGTGAAAACAGCTTTAGCTAGCTATAACATGGGTGAAATCAACTTTAGCTATCTAGAACATGGGAAAAACCAAATTTAGCTGGATTAGAACATGGGTGAAACCAACATTAGCTAGCTAGAACATGGGTGATACCAACATTAGCTAGCTAGAACATGGGTGAAACCAACGTTAGCTAGCTATAACATGGGTGAAATCAACTTTAGCTAGCTAGAACATGGGCAAAACTAAGTTTAGCTGGATTAGAACATGGGTGAAATCAACTTTAGCTAGCTAGAACATGGGTGATACCAAGTTTAGCTGGATTAGAGCATGGGTGATACCAACGTTAGCTAGCTAGAACATGGGTGATACCAACGTTAGCTAGCTAGAACATGGGTGAAACCAAGTTTAGCTGGATTAGAGCATGGGTGATACCAACGTTAGCTAGCTAGAACATGGGTGATACCAACGTTAGCTAGCTAGAACATGGGTGATACCAACGTTAGCTAGCTAGAACATGGGTGAAAACAACGTTAGCTAGCTAGAACATGGGTGATACCAATGTTAGCTAGCTAGAACATGGGTGAAAACAACATTAGCTAGCTAGAACATGGGTGAAATCAACTTTAGCTAGCTAGAACATGGGTGAAACCAACGTCAGCTAGCTAGAACATGGGAAAAAAACAAGTTTAGCTGGATTAGAACATGGGTGAAAACAGCTTTAGCTAGCTATAACATGGGTGAAATCAACTTTAGCTATCTAGAACATGGGAAAAACCAAATTTAGCTGGATTAGAACATGGGTGAAACCAACATTAACTAGCTAGAACATGGGTGAAATCAACTTTAGCTAGCAAGAGCATGGGTGAGACCAAGTTTAGCTGGATTAGAACATGGGTGAAACCAACGTCAGCTAGCTAGAACATGGGTGAACTCAACTTCTGCTAGCTAGGACATGAGTGAGACCAAGTTTAGCTAGAACATGGGTGAAACCAAGAAGATAGCAGGGATGTGCTTCCCCTTTAAGATGGTTTCCTCTCTAGATTTGTTCCTTCTAGGGAGTTTTTCCAAGCCAATGTGTTTCTTCTTCTGCTTGCTCTTAATGACCGTAATTAATCTAAATTAAGATAGAAATGCTAAACTATTTACATTTAAGTTCGTCCTAAATATTCCATATTCTAAAGTCTAAAACCCAACAGTCAAAAGTTTGGACACACCTACTCCTTCAAGGGTTTTTCTTTATTTTTTATTTTTTTACTATTTTCTACTTTGTAGAATAATAGTGAAGACATCAAAACTATGAAATAACACATATGGAATCATGTAGTAACCAAATCAAAATGTGTTAAACAAATCAAAATGTAATTTACATTTGAGATTCTTCAAAGTAGCCACCCTTTGGCTTGATGACAGCTTTGCACACTCATGGCGTTCTCTCAACCAGCTTCATGAGGTAGTCACCTGGAATGCATTTCAATTAACAGGTCTGCCTTGTTAAAAGTTAATTTGTATAATTGATTTCCTTCTTAATGCGTTGGAGCCAATCAGATGTGTTGTGACAAGGTAGGGGTGGTATACAGAAGATAACCCTATTTGGTAAAAGACCAAGTCCATATTATGACAAGAACAGCTAAAATAGAA